TTCAATCCCCTTCTTCGAGGCACATTCCTAGCACACCTGACTAGCGCACATTTCTCATCCTTTTTTCCGCTCGTCATCTGCTCACCTCCCTGTCTTCCTCTCTCCTTCCCTTGTCCACCTCCACCCTTGTCATCCTCTCCCCCCCCCATTCTTCCTCCGTCCCCCCAGTCCTCCTCTCTCCCCCCAGTCCTCCTCTCTCCCCCCAGTCATCCTCTCTCCCCCCAGTCGTCCTCTCTCCCCCCAGTCGTCCTCTCTCCCCCCAGTCCTCCTCCGTCCCCGCTGTCCTCTCTCCACCCTCTCATCCTCTCCCCGTCCTGTCCACTCCCCTGGCGTCGATGGTGCACTACCCCCATGAGCCTCATGGTGAGCAACCCTTCATTCTCCCTCCCTTTCCCCTGTTGTTTCCCTTCCCCCCCAATTTCCTTTCCCCCATTTCCCTTCCCACCATTTCCCTTCCCCTGTCTCCCTTCCCCCTGTTACCATTCCCCCCTGTCATCCTCTCATGCCCCCCCCAACTCTCTCCTCACTTCCGCTTCCGTTTCCCCTTCTTTCTCCCTCCTGGTGCCCTTTTTCACACTTTCTTTCTTTCTTTCCTCCTCTTCCCTGCTGCAGCTGGCAGAGCTGTGAAGCTTCTTTCCTTTCACCCTGCATTGCCCTGCCGCTCTCCTCTTTCCCTGCGTGCCGGGCTAAGTGTACCGTGCAGGCGGCAGCATGGCAGCAGGCCGCCATGCAGGGTTTAGGGCGTGGGTGGGGATGCAGGCAGGCGTGGGCTCTCCACTCGCCCTGCCTTCACACGTGCTTCTCTTCCGCCCCTGCTTCCTACCTGCTTGGGCCTATGAGTTGCTGCTGCAGCTGGGTTGACTAGGGGAGCAGGAGCACAGCATGGGCCCTCACCACTCCGCAGGAGCTACATTAGCCTACATGTGTGCTGAAGCGACAGTATGAGTGGTGGAAGGGGGTTTTGTATCATTAGTTAGCTACCGTATAAGACAATATATGTTCTTCACAGCCACTTAGTGCTGCAAAAGGTGACCATTACAAGAGCCCAGTCAGTACCAAGGTCATTATTGGATGTGTAAAACCGCAACTTGATAGGAAAATTTGTTATATCCTTGCTATTCGAGGTTTTGATACAGCAAGGACCCACACCACACCACACTATCCTAAATCCAACTAACTAGTCTGCTTGGTTGGATGCATCACGAGCTGCAGCACAGAAGGGAGATGGTAGGAGGGAACACTTACAGTAACAGTACATGCATTCACATACAATGCCAAAACTAATGACAAACTAGGAACCCTTAGGCTGCAGTGCTATGAGATGAGTAGATGTCAGCCTGCCGCTAGTAGACTGAGAGGCGGGAAGACGAAGTGGCGAGGAGGCGAGGATGCAGAAAAGGGAGAGAGGGCAGGGAGGGAAGAGTGGACAGGGAAAAGAAAGAGAGAGCAGGGGGGAAACAATGGGTAAGCAGGGGGGAAAGAGAGAGTGAACACGGGGGAAACAACAGGTAAGCAGGGGAAAAGGAAAGAGTGAGCAGGGGGGATACAATGGATTAGCGGGGGGGAAAGAAAGAGTGAGCAGGGGGGAAACAATGGGTAAGCTGGGGGGAGGGAAAGAGTGAGCAGAGGGAAAACAATGGGCAAGCAGGAGATAGGACGGGGAACTCGCATTGTTTTGGGGCCGGAGGTGCGATGCGAGAGTGGAAAAATTGGACACTGGAGAATGCCTATCCCCCCCTCCCCCTCCCCCTCCTCCTCCCCGCTCCCCCTCCCCCTTTCGCCCCCTTCTCGCTGCTTATTCCCTCTCCTCCCCTCCCCCCACCCCAGCCTTCTCGCTCCTCATCCCCTCTCCCCAAGGCGCTACGTTTCTGTCTACCACCCCCGCTTTCCTCGATGCTGGTGGTTATTGGCAATGGCAGGGATGGGAGTAGTGGAACAGAGAGACGGCAAAGGGGGAACTAGCGGGTAGGGAAAGGGGGAAGGTGCGTATAGGACAGGGGGAGGCAGGGCGAAGGGAAAGGGGAAAGCCGCCAGTAGGGAATGAGGAAAACCAGCGCGTAGGGAATGGGAATAGCAGCGCGAGGGGAAGCGGGGAAGCAGCGCGAGGGGAAGCGGGGACGCAGCGCGAGGGGAAGCGGGGAAGCAGCGCGAGGGGAAGCGGGGACGCAGCGCGAGGGGAAGCTGGGAAGCAGCGCGAGGGGAAGCGGGGATGCAGCGCGAGGGGAAGCGGGAATGCAGCGCGAGGGGAAGCGGGGATGCAGCGCGAGGGGAAGCGGGGATGCAGCGCGATGGGAAGCGGGGATGCAGCGCGAGGGGAGGGGAGGGTAGAACGAGGGAAAAAACTGGGAGGGAACGAAGCAAAACAGAAGCAGGGGAAACGGCCACCATCGGGCGGAACCGTACGAGTGGCGACGCTGAAAGCGGGGAGCGGAGAAATGGAATGCGCTGAGCTCGAAAAGGGGAGCGGGATTGCGCGACCAAAAAGTTGGACAGTGAAAGCGACGCGCTGGTTGCAACGAGCGACTCCGGTTTTGCGGCGATCGTCGCCGAGTGGGCGCTGCGGCACGCGGCGACTAGCAGCGACACTCGAGCTTTGAGCTGCGAGCGAAAGACGACGCGGATACGCGACAATCATCTGCCTAGCGTATTGCTCAACACGACGGAAAACAGTGACTTGAATGGCGGGCTACGATCGGCCAGCGACGAACTGCGACATTTGAAATCCAAGCCGCGAAAGGATACGATTGGCGACGAACGGGAACCGATTGGAATATATATTGCACTGCCTGCGTCAGCAGGCAGTGCAATCGAGTCAGCGCGGGCAAGAAAAAAAATAAACCCCAGTCGGGGGCATGCCATCCGAGGGAGCCTCAACCCTAAAATTTTAGGGTTGAGGCTCCCGAATGGCATGCCATAAGCCATGGGTTTATTTTTTTTGCCCGCGGGCAGCGTGCTGACTCGGTCGGTAGCGCTACCGGGCGCTACCGACCGCTACCGGCTCTCGAAAGTGAAATATATTGACGGGCATTGAACGCTCGGCGACGAACGACCGTCCAGCGAACACTGTTCGCAAAATTCCTGGCCCCCAAAACATGCCCACAATTGTAGCATTCTTTCAGGTATCCCACGAGAGCTATGTTTGAACACCATCCAATCATGCAGGAAACTATGCTTCGAGGGTTGGGTTTCGGGAGAGCCACCTTCAGTAGAAGAGTAACAGTGTGTATGGGTTTAAAGTCAGACCCGTTTCAGTGTTAAGCTCATCCGCCATGCAATTGTTGTAATTTTGTGGTTCATTTCCACCACCATCCAGGCCCGGCAAACCTGTGTGCCAAACCTAGGGTCGGTTCGGGAATGGTGTACAGTACCATCACACCAACAAAAATTGCATTCATCGTGTCCAGCGAGTTGCGACGTCGACACACCACCCTCTGTGTCAGATGCATCTGGTTACACGGCGATTCTGTCCAGCATAGCAGGACCATCCCATGCTGTCGAAAACTTGTTACAACGTAGCACATCAACAGCTTTCGGCACATGACGGAACTCCCTGTTGGCCAATCTTGGTTCTGTGCTTCTGAACTCGATTCTTGGAAACATGGCAGTCCCATCCTCTCGAGCATCTATTTCAGCCGAGCAATTTCACTTGCAATTCATTTTTATCTTGAAATACTTGGTAGCCACGGCCGTTTTCAGAGCAACACCACCACGCATGCTGGTCTGCTTGCGGGAACGAAGACCCACCATTAGGCTTTCCTTGAAAGCGAAAGCGTCGTTGTTTCTTTCTTGGTTTCTCGCTCGTCCGCCAGCTTTTCTAGCGTCGCTTGCCGTTCGCGGATCCATTTGCTTACTAGCCGACCTAGATTTAGGATGCCTCAGACACGCGACCGATTTCCAACCGCTCGCGGAGAGCGCAGCGTTTTCGCTTGGTCGCGCAAGATGCATCGCTGCGCCTCCGCCGTGTCCTCCTCCTACGCCCACCCTCCTCGCTTTCTCCGCGTCGACGGGTTCACTTCTCGTTCAGCGAAATCGCCTGGTTGTTCACGGACGCGCTGATTGGCCCTCGAAGAGTCTTCCTGCCCCTCCCCCGCACCTTTTCCGCTCACCTCACGCTTCTCCTCCCTCGAAGCGCCCTTATGGTCTCGATGCGGCACCACGTCTGTTCGCACCCAGTCCCACTCTCTTCCACCCTTTTCGATTGCCCCCCTTCGATCTTCTCTCGTTTTGTCTCTCCTCCCTTTGCTCCGCCACTTCACATGTCGCGAAAAGGAAACAATGAAACAGGTACATGCGTAAAGCTAAGGATGTCTCGTATCAAAGCTCCCCGTTGTGTTATAGTTTTTTCAGTGTTTTCTCATAAATATATTCCTTTGTGTGAGTGCACAGAAATCTGTTCAACACCTCGTGGCAAGGCTCTCTTGATGCTCTCTCTACACTCACTCTTCTTTAACACCCGTGACACCCCCTCACCTCACCGCACCTCACCTTAATACTCTCCCTCACCTCCAGCACCTGGGTGACCCTCTTGTATTGCTCATTTCTCACTGACCTGTTGCCCTCGCCCTACTCAACCCACTGTCCCCTGCAACCAACCAATCCCCCCCACTCCCCCCAACCAACCAAATTTCCCCACTCCCCCAATCGCCCCCACTTCTCATCGGTGCAGCAACCTGGCGAATTAGCTGCCAGAAGGACCCATCCCAGGGAAGCAACTGGGGCTCTGGATGGCCTGCAACGCCTGTGTGTGCATGACGGGGGGAAGGGGGGAGAGGGGAGGGAAAGGGGGAAAAGAGGAGGGGAAGGAGGAGAGGTGAGGGGAGGGGAAGGGTGCAGACGGGAATGGGGGGAAGGAGAAGGGGGGGATAATCTCAGGGAAGCAACTGACTGGTGGCTCTGGATGGGCTTTACGACTGTGAGTGCAAGGGGGGAGGGAAAGGAAGAGAGGGGAGGGGAGGAGCCGTATTCTCAGTTTCTGCCCTCATCTGCCATACACTGCCCAGGCATGCCGCGGCTGCTGCTATCGACGCCGCTGTCGGAGGAGCAGCATCAGCACGGTGCGTGGAGACGATCCGCAGCAGCCGACACTCGCTGCTGGCCATCCTGAACGACATTCTGGATCTGAGCAAGGTCGAGGAGGACCAGCTGGAGATGGGCACCGCGACTTCAGCGTCACCGCGTGCGTCGAGGACAGTGTCAACCTGCTCGCGGTCAGTGCTCGCTTGCTCAGGATCTCTCAACGCTCCTATGGTGGCCTTATCGATTCTTGACTCGCAATCCTCGGTAGCTCCCCCAGATCCCTCGTCGTGCTGCCACCCTCCCATTCCCATCTTGTTATCGCTCTCCGTTCTATCTCTCCCCCTCTCCCCCTCTCCCTCTCCCCCCCTCCACCCCGCATCCCCTCACCCTCCCAGCTGTCCCATCTACCTGGAGTGCAGGTGGCAGCTCTGCCCTGCCCAGTGCGCCAGATCGCCCTCAACCTCCTCCTCGCCTCGCTCTTCCCCCCACCTCCCCCCTCCTCCCCCTCCTGCTCACCCCCTCCTGCCAACCCTGCTTCCTCCGGATACTGCTCACGTATGTGCCATGGATTGGGATAGCATGGGTGGCGTGGGGAGGCATGGGGTGGCATGGAGTGGCATGTAGTGGCATGGTGTGGCACGGAACATCATGTGATGGCATGGCGTGGCGTGATTTGGTGGGGCACAGGTGAGCTATGGTGGCATGGTGCATGTAGGTGGCATGGCGAGGCACATGGGGCATGGCGAGGCAAGACCTGTAGAGATTTTGACTCTCCCACGCCCTTCCCCTTCCACCCACTTTGCCCTCTTCTACTCTACAGCGTGAGTGTAGTTTTCACATTTTTTATGGTCTCGCTCGTCCGCCAGATGTGATAGCAAAGCTTCCCGTACTACAATCAAGTCTTCGCTTAGCCAACCCTGTACTACTGCTATCCGCATTTCGCTTGCCGTTCGCTTACTAGCCGACCTCGTACTGCCAGCTCACTTGAACACCTCACCTCACCTGAACACTCTCCCTCACCTCCAGCACCTGAAAGACCCTCCTGTACCCATTTCTCACAGACCTGTCACCCTTGCCGTTCGCCACTCACTCTCACTCTATCATGTTCAGCCATCGTCGCATGCCTAAATACCTCATCCCATCTCAATACCTCCCCCCCCCCTCCTTCCCCTTCCCACTTTCTTCCTCCCCCTTCCTTCTCCCCCAAACCACCCTTTTCTCATCAGTATCAGCTGGACGACTTGTATTTGAACCTAGTTGACTGGTTTAATTGAACCAGTCTCCTGCGACGAGGGGAAAGAGGCAGCTACGGGGCCATTGAGGCATCTAAGGTGGAAGAAGCAATAAAGGAGAGGCGACGGGGGGGATGAAGGAGCAGCGGGGAAGGCAGCTTTGGGGGGAATGAGGGAGCAGCGTGGGAGGCAGCAATAAGGGGGATGTGGCAACTAAGGGGGATGTAGTGATGGGAGGGATGAGGGAGCAGGGGGGAAGACAGCTATGGGGGGGATGGGGGAGCAGGGGGGAAGACAGCTATGGGGGGGATGAGGGAGCAGGGGGGAAGACAGCTATGGGGGGGGTGAGGGAGCAGGGGGGGAGACAGCCATGGGGGGGGTGAGGGAGCAGGGGGGAAGACAGCGACGGGGGGAATGGGGGAGCAGTGGGCACGGCAGTGATAGGAATGTGGGAGCAGTGAGGGAGGCTGCGAGGGGGGGGGGGGGGGGAGGAGCGTCGGGGGAGGTAGCGACGAGGAGAAGCAGGGAGCAGTGGAGGAGGCAGCGATGGGGGGATGGGTGAGCAGTCGGGGAGGCATTGATGGGGGGATCAGGGAGCAGTAGGTGAGGGGATGAGGGAGCAGTTGGGGAGGCAGTGATGGGGGGAATGTGAGAGGAGGAGGTAGCAACGAGGGAGTTGAGGAAGCAGAGGGAGAGGTAGTGATGGGGGATGTGGAAGCAGAGGGGAAGGCAGTGATGGGCTCTTTCTCTTGCAATGATACTGCACTGCTGATAGAGGCTCCTCATCCCCCCCTGCATTATACCGGGGTAGGTTGGATGGCGCATTGGTTCGAACAGCTTGTTATTGTAGGTTTTGTACTGTAGATTCGGATGCAACAAGCGTCTTTGATGTTTCGTGTTTGCTTTGAGCATCTGTGACTGCTGCGTAATCTATGGTTTTTATAAATCTGCTTTAAACAACAAAAAAACATTGTGCAATGACAGGTCATGCTGCTGGTGGACAAATGTGATTATACGAAATGCTGCCTATAATGAATGGAAGTTCTTATAATAATAGTTTGCAGTGTCACAAATGCTATGTCAGATTGTACGTATAAATACGTTGTGTCTTTGCATTTTACATTAGTGTACAAACTGTTACACAACCTAATACAAAAACGAGTTTCCCTTTGTCGCTGTTCACCTAGTGGCGGGGGGGGAGTGTTTTCAGTCAGATGTGGGAGTCCAAAAAGAATGCGCGAGGTATGCTCGAACAATCCCACAGCAATGATCAACTTAATGTCACAAGTATGTTCCGTGTGGCATACTTTGAGGAATGTTTAAACATACTTAGTGCACACTTTTTTGGGGCAGGAATTTTGTGACGCAGAAAGCGGGGAACGGTAAGAGGTGGATATATGAGAGCCGGATTCGATGAGCTCATGGCCTTGTTGCAGATCGGCGACAAGACGGAAGCGACGAGGTGAAAGCGTGGCAGAAAGCGGCTAGTCTGAACGCGGGGAGCACGAAGGTCAAGCACGAGGCGACGAGGCGAGCAGAATGCGGCGGCGAGCGCAGCGCAGCTCGCGACGGGGTGGTTTTCTGCGCAACTGATCTGCGGCCTACGCGGACAGTGTCGCGAGAAGTTAGTGGAGCTGGGCGGAGCAAGATATTAGCGACTATTTTCTGAGTCACTACGTGAGGGGAGTTGTTTCACAGGTTGGGCCGTCGTGCTCGTCATACTTTTGGTATACAAACTCACCCACGAAGTGGATCAAGTTCTAACCTCGCGAAATCGTCCGGTTTGGGAACCCCCACCCCCCTCCCGAAACCTTCCCCCACGATTGTTCGTTTCTCCGCAGAGGGGTACTTGTGAAGGAAGGGTTACCCTGTTTCCAAGTGATAAACCTTTGCCTCCCGCTCGAAGTATGTAGACCACAGCTTTAAGTGTCGGCGTAGACGCCATAGTTGAGTGATTGTATGTAAAAATGTCGCGCAGTAAACTTGAGGGTGACACGCCTCTCGGTAGGCTGCGAGTTCTAGCCAGCTTGGACGGAAGCAAAAAACTACTCGAACGGAAATGTTAATAGAGCCGTTGAAAATAGAGAAACGTGGGTGGAGGGAATGAACTCCAACCCACGGTTTTTGTAGATGGAGAAGGGCGTTTAGCGCGCTTCGACGCTGCCAAATATTCGGTACAGGCAGCTTCGCTTTCACAATACACAATTAAAAAAAAAAACACGAATGTGTTTAAAATTTATAATGTTTGGAGTCCTTGCTCCAAAGTTGATAGTCGCTGTAGTAGCTGCTCCAGGGCGGCATTGCTGATCGTAATTGGCTTCCAATTCGCTGCACTATTGGGATGTTTTTTATCGTCATGCTTGTCTGACCTCCCGATCCTTCAGCCATCTTGAGACGTGAGCGTGTGCCGGTTGCCACTTTCGGTTTGTGAGAAATTTTGTAAATGGGGGTGCGAAGAATCCGTGCAAAAATCGCCAGCATGAGCAAGATAGCCCTGGACGTGGAACGCAAACGCAGGTGTAGGGGCCAGTCCAGAGGATGGCCGGCAAAACCTGTAGGTGTGAGGAACGGAGCCATAGGTTAAGCTGGTGCGCAGCATAGCGGACTGCAAAGGGCCACTGAAAATGGTGTGCAGTGACATGAAACATGGAGGTATTGCTGACCTCTATGATCAGGCCAATGCGATGCTCAGCGATCCCATTCTGTTGCGGCGAGTCCGGCTGCGTGAAACACTAGCAGATGCCCTGCGTACAACAAAATTGCTTGAGCCAGCCAAAGGTGAACTCACCTCCCTAGTCAGAGTGCAACTCCAGCACAAGACAGCCACGCTGTGTGCGGGTGGCCACGATCCACGGGAGAAGAGTGTCTGGCACGTTGGCCTTCTGCTGCATTGGGAACACCGCGGTGTAGCAGGTGTACTTGTCCACGACTACTAAAAAGTAGCGCTCCCCGCAAGGCCTAGCAACTGGGGTAGGGCCTTAGAGGTCCATGTGCAGGGATTGAAGAGGGTTAGTGGCGTGAGAGTATGAGGAGGGGTGAGGGGCGGCGCACTGATGCCCCTCGACGCAGGGAGTGCACGGCAGCACACAACGCGCAAGAGACTCAAGAAAACTGGTGAGAAGATAAAGAGGAAATATATTATGCTTACACGGAAAGGAGGGGTGACCTAAGAAGTGGTGGCAGAGGAGTGATGGGTACCTGAGAGGCCTACGTGAGAAGGACGCAACAACCTGGCCAGGCATAGACAGCGGGGTGGATTCGGTGCACAGTGAGAAGAGACCAGACCTAGGCTCCCGCGTGAACGTGGCAAGAGGAGCTCAAGCGGTAGAGTCCGTGCAGATCGCAAACCGCTCGTGCCCTTGAAACGTGGTGTTGACACCCAGGTTATGAAGCTTACCCACACCAACCAAGTTCGGGGTTATGCAGACCCGTCAGGGAGGTATAGGGAACGACAGGGCGCGGGAGTGTAATGGGACTGTGTGCAATGACCGGGCTTGAATAGGGGTCGGCTAGTGCAACAACATGTGTATGAAGTGGTGCGAGTCTCGTATGGTCGCGAAAGAAAGACCAAGAGGCGCCGGAGTCGAGTGTGAAGAAGTCGTTGGCAGCGGTCACACCTGCGCTAGCAACAGCATAAGATTTTGACATCCATCAGAAGTTCCTTCACATGCAGTAGATACAGATCCTCGACTAGATGCACAAAAATAATAGGGTCCAATAATAATACAGTTAGATGCATACAAAACATTAGAAACATCAGCAATATCCATAGTAAAGATAGGCACACTACGCTGCATTAGAGAGTACCAGTCCGGGAGAGCAGCACGAAGGCCGAGGCGCGGGTGGTAGAAATCATGGAAGTGGAGAAAACAGCGTGCCACCGAGTTATCCTTGTCAGAGGTCCACTGGTGATCCCCGATTGATCCTAGGGAAGGGTTACAGGCACGGCGGCCTGGGGGGTTATGGGCGCACTCACCCGCTACACAAACAAGCCCTTTTATCCCAGTGGTTAGTGGCTGGGATTCTGACATGGTATCAGAGCGAAGGTCTCGGGTTCGAATCCCGGTGTGTGCACCTCGGGCATCCCAGTGCGGGGGGGTGTCAGAGGTCCACTGGTGATCCCCGATTGATCCTAGGGAAGGGTTACAGGCACGGCGGCCTGGGGGGTTATGGGCGCACTCACCCGCTACACAAACAAGCCCTTTTATCCCAGTGGTTAGTGGCTGGGATTCTGACAATCCTGACGTCCGTAGACAGTGCCAGAGCCAGCACATTCTCCAGGAGTACAACTCAAACCTGAACCAACTCCAACATTAGCTCCCC